GATTAAACACACTGAAGCACCTTGTCGGCATCAGATACAAGGCACAACACTTGAATGAACACACATATGTTGTAAACAGTCCAATCAGATCCTTTGAGAAACATACCTGTATTTGGCACTGGTACTGCTCCTGCTGAGCAAGGATTTGTTCTTGATATTGCTTTTCCACCAACTGAAAGAGATGAAGCCACCGGCCCTGTTTGAGAAAGAAAACACTGTCACTATGTTGTCTGCTTTTTAATAAAAGCATAAAAACAGAATCTGTGGCTGCAAATGAAGGAAGTGATATGATAGACAAATTGGTGTGTTTTAGTTAGATGAGCAAGTAGAGGTTGTGAAATTTCTACTGTCAATATCACACACAAAAAACAGAAATGTGATTGCCGTGTGGCCAATCTCAGCATATAACATTTTTAAAAAGGCGATGAAACAGAAGTAGCTAAATATCTTTTCTGCTGTATTGTGACATACATCCGAATGTAATAGATTGTCCAAAAATAACCATTAGTCAGCTAGAAAAAAAACAATTGTTTTAGAGAGGAGCATTTTGATAAATGTATCTGCCCTACATTGCACATTCATAATAGTTACATATTATATAAAAACTGCCTTATGTGCAATATAAATGTTTGTATACAATGAGGGTTGATTATTAAATAAAGTTGATTACCGGTAATTAACTGATTAGTTTAATTAGTTTTTGGTTTCAGTTTTCAGCTAAATTAAAACATAACGTTTTGGTGCATAACTATTAAAGTCCCCCTGTGGTGAAAATCAAGTTTTTAATGTTGTTTATATGTCTGTGGTGTTTTTAGCTTTATATGCATTAAGACGAACCATGTACAAATTCATAAGTCAACACCATTGCAGAGTATTTTCTCCTTAAAACTGCAGTGAACCAAAGACAGTCTCAAAAAATCGGTTTGAAATCACTGGTGTTTCTGACGTCACAAACTACCTTGTAACCAATCATGTCAACGAGTGGATCTCTGAGCTGAGTGAGTGAGTGGAGGCGGGGCTCATTTTCATATTCATAGAACCGCGTATACTAAATGAGGCAAAGGTGTCGAATTACATTCAAGCTATTTTAAGGCATGGACACATTTTTTTTCAAGGAAAAAAAAACGTTGTTGATCAAAGATGAGTTTTAATGGATAAAATTATTGACTACAGGGGGACTTTAAGATCTATAATATGCATTTAGAAAATAAATAGGGTGATTTTTCATTTCACGCCAATTTTAAATGGCACAAGATACTTCTAAATGATCTATTTTTTTATGTCAGGGATCAGCTGCATTGTGGGATGTTCTCCCCAGCTCTGAGCGTGGCTGCTGTCGTCGGCTCGACTCCTAGGAGAGACCCCAGACGATGGCCCAGAAACCTGGGCCATGATGGCTGCTTCATAACACCACATGAGGGAGGGAATGAATGGACAGTGTGGACATCTGCGCACCTCACAGTTCTTCCAAATCTCAGGGTCGGTCTCCCCACTGCTCTGGATCTCCTGCACCAGGGCTCGGAGGGTCTCTAGAGAGCTTGGGTTGATGAAGGGTAAACTTCTCCCTGAGCTGAACTCCTCAGTACGAAGACACAGATTTCTAAAGCATGTGACATGAGGAGAAAGACACCCAGAGGGATTTAAAACAGCTTATCAATGACAGCATCTTTGTAAAGCTAAAAACAGTCAACATCACATGAAAAAAACAGACCTTATTTTGTTGGAAATGCTGCATGCTGGTGTGGTGGAGGGTCGGTTTGCCCCTTCTGTGGCCTGAAGGAAGCCCTCGGGGTGGGACGCAGAGTGCTCTTCTTCAGGGAGACCCGATACGGTGTCCTCAGAGGAGACGATGGACGCCTCGCTCTCTTTCCCACCATTGGCACTGATTTGATCGTGGCTCAAAGCCACAGAGCTGGACACGTCCTCAGAGATGCTGTCATCTGTGGACATGCTTAAACAGCCGTGTACAGTGACTGTATGCGAGCGCTGTGTATAAAAAAATAAAAAATGGCTAAATTGGAGAATATCATATATTTCATAAGAGTAAATGCATCTAGAAGACACAACTAGCAACTAGGGCTCAAACCTGCAAGCTTTCAATTACCAGCCCATATCTTTAACTAACTAGCCACAAACCAAAAGAAATAAAACCTATTTTTACTTTCAGAATTATTTACCTATGCATTTTTTTTATCAGCTCATATAAACTGAGATAGAAGTACTTTTTAAAATGTATCTGCCCACTGATTAAAAATAGTTAAACACACTGATTAAAAATTGTGGCCCGTTACAGGATCTAAAATATGTATTTTTATATGCATATAAGATTTTTTAAAGCATTCTTTTAAAAAAATAAAGTACATATTACAGAAGTAATATACTTTAAAAGAACAAGTGTGGACAGAATGTAATGTTTTGGACACTTAATTGCATGTTAAATTGTTTTACTTTTTTACTTTTGACATACTACTTAAGTAGGGCTTCAGTACATATTTATGTAATATCATAATTAACTCTACTGTCTCTACTGACAGAATGTACTGACATTTACTAAAAATGTATGTAATTTCTATTGATTGAAATGTGTATGTCATGTATTTAAATATATTCGAGATGAAGAAGCTGCAATTTAGTACATTTAAAATATACTTTAAATGTAAAATATTTAATTCGACCATTACAAAGTAGGCTACACTTTTTAAAAGTGTACTTAAGAAACAGTCATAAAAAGCTTACTCTCTTCAAGTAGCCTTTTATTGTATTAATATTATATTATATTATTTGTAACTAAGCATAGTTTAAAAAAAAATACATATATATATATACACTTTTAAGATTTGAAGTATGCTACAACTGCACATGATTCAATAGGATTAAGCACACTCAATTTCCACAAGGGATTTGTTTGTTTACTATTCATATTCATCCTAATACAATATGAAAAATCCTTAAATACAAGCAGCAGAAAAATATATCACAAGGATGTATCACGACTATCATGAACTTAGAAGATAACGTATCATTCATTATAATATTTTTAAGGGTTAAGGAATAATCAAGAAGCCAGCTGTCAGGAAATAATGGCCACATCTGGTAAATACGCGGTTTATATGCAGTCTGACATATTCACACAACAAATGTCATTCATTGTTAATAACTTAGATGGAGACCAACAGCAAGTTATATGCAACCATAAAGCCAGAACCACACACACATTATGTCATCAGATCAAGAAACAATACAAAGCAAATCTGTCACCTTACAAACCCAGCTGGTGGTGCTTTATTGCATATCTATTCTAGAAGATGTGAAGCAGGTTCACAGATGTGGACATGCCAGCAAAACACAGAGAGCTCTCCTCTCGCTATGGCGCTTCCTGTTCCACACACAACACGCGCGCGCATCACCTCTGCAGCTGCATCCCGCGAGCCACCAAACACAAGGGCTGACACAGTTGACGTTACCATGATGATAATAACTCCCCCAAGTAACGCGGCACTTACTTGTTACTTTTTATCATCACTTGTTCTCCCATTTTGACATTTCCTCATGTGCCGCGCGCGCTCTCTTTCCTTCTCTTCATCTGTCACTGACTGCTTCTCGCTCAACCTTCTAACGTTCTAAGCTAAGCAAGCAACGACGACACACTGCGCCGCGAAACGCCATTGGCCAAATGAGTTCGAAAGGCGTTACTTGATTGGTCAGCACCACTAGTCAACGTCCCTTAAGTCTCTGTGATTGGCTCCTTTGCAGGATTCTGCGCATTTTGAGACCACAACAGTGGTTCTGATTGGTCTTTTGAGTAACCCCGCCGCCGCACTACATGGGTGCATTCATGCATTTCACCTGTCAGGAAACACCGAGGTTCTATTTCCGTCAGTATTCAAAATAAATAAATAAGGATTATATTTTGCTTAAAGAAAATTAAGCCTTTTTGGGAACAGATTTTTTTTTTGTTGCATTGTGACGTAATTTTTTATAATAATTAAGGGTAAAAATGTATTTTAAAGTAACGTAGTTGCACGTTACTACATGTACTTACTGTACTAATAACAGTAAATTATGCATAATTACTTAAATTATGCAAAAGTAACTAACCCTAAACCAAACATGAAGTTAATTAATATTACTCAGCACTTATTTGAGTAAGTACAATGTAAATACGTCACCTTAAAATGAAGTGTAACCTAATTAAGTAGGCCTAGTTTATTTCACCTAAAAAAAATATTTTGCCCGGCCTAATACAATTAAAAAAATCTGTATTATTGCAGAAATGAAAATCACTTTTGAAATCAAAAATAATACCAGGATTCATTACAATAATGATAATTGTGCGGGGGAAAACGTGCTTAATTGTCATGAAAATATTTTCACAAATTAATATGGATCTAATCTATAATTAATATGGATCTTATATCATTTTCTTAATGCAAAATTACAATTTCTTAGTGGCCACACAAACTTAGATACTCTTGACCTGTAATCACATAGCCCATGAGGCCTCAAACATATCTAGCTTTTATGGTTATTCAAACCATTGCCAACATTTCTTTTTTAGGATTAATAAAATATTCCATCAATGACAGCATTATTTTGATTAGTTAAACATGCCAATTAATCACACAATAAAGCCTTAAATAATTACTATGGTAAGCATAACGCACTTTCTTCATCAAAAACGTAAAAATCTTTGTTATTTTAATTTCTTGTTTAGGTGGATCCTCAAACCAGTTTACCAGTTTTATTGTAGCAACAATAAAATCTTGTTAACTTTTTGTAAGGATAGTAAAATTGTCTTTTGCAAACCAATAAACAAAAGCATTTCATACACAATGAATGTCATATTTATTGACAGATATACAAAATTCCAAAGAGTGACCTTTTTTGTCTTTACATGAAAATACATTGTATTACACAAGGTAATAAATACAAATAAAGACGAAAGTAATGGCATCACTATAATACTTTTGAGTGTCCTCCCCGATTAAAAGAAAACTCAGCTATCCATGAGAGTGTCCGAGGAGAAAATATTATCCTGAGAGCTATTTCTAAAAGCACATACCTAGTCTAACCTGTAAAAGCCATGCAGATTCTAATGTGGGACCGTTAATCCGGTTGCATGCATTTTTGCTAATTTTGTTCTTAAAGATACTATGTGGTCAAAGAAAATGAAATATATAAAAACAACTCAAATGGCAACAGTTCTTCCAGATCTCTTGCATTTATAAATCGGATGATATATTCTCTGCGTCGTGCCTTATTCCCTCCAAACCACAGATGAGAAGCGCAACTCGTAACATAAATGCTCCACTTGTTGATTGTTTTATCCCCCTCAAAGGAAAGGCATGCATGATTCCCGTGTGACGGTATAGAAGACACAGTTCTTTCAGCCGTATGGAGAGAATGAGGAAGGAGGCGCTAGGATCTCGCATTTCTTTCTGTCTCTGCCAGACACTCACGGACAAGCCCTCTGGCGTGAATGATACCTTTAAATAAAGACACAATATTTGAGTTGCTGTGTAAGTATAACATGTCAGTGCATTTGTTAAAACTCTTATTTAGAAGCAGATTTATAGATTTTGTTCACAAACCTCTTTTAAGTCGCTCCATGGCGCTTTTACTCCCTGCATATGTTGGCCTTATTTCTTTCCCAAGTTCTTCGATGATGGCGAGGAGTTCAGCATATTTACTCTGAGGTACTTGGTTTCCATTTGGACCCTAAACATGATATAAAACGGGGGGGAAATTAAGGGTTATTAGTTAATCAAAAAAAAAATATTAATCTCTTTTAATGAATTAAAATCTCTTTTTAAAACTCTTTATAATGGAAGTACCAGTAACTGAGATTTTGAAGCCCAAAAAAGCACATCCATCCATCAGAAGAGTAATCCACACGGCTCCAGTGGGTTAATAAAGGCCTTTATGTATTTTTTTAATATAACTGATTGTGTTTGGCTGAAAAAAGAAAGTCATATACACCTAGGATGGTAAATCATGGGATAATTATCATTTTTGGGTGAACTACCCCTTTAAAAATATGCTTATTATGACAGAATGAGTATCAAACCTACCAGTGTTATTTTAGGTACCTTTATGGTTACTATTATGAATGAGTTTTTACTTTTATATTTTCTGTTTTAATAAAAAAAATTAGTTTCAGTAATTTAGTTGTATTTTTTTGTAGTTTTTGATATAATATTCCAAGTAACGAAACTGTTTTTTATGGTTTAAGTTAAAGTCGGCGATGGTCTTTTGTTCCCTATTGTGATGTTTATCTGAGTGAAACAGCATTTTAAACCAGGAAGAATTGTCCGTGGGGAATTTATTGAATGGTTGTGGTTTGCTATTGGTCGATCTCATGTGAGTGACAGGTTTCCCCGCCCTCATGCAAGTCATCAGAGAAGAGGGCTGCGTCCAAAATCGTAGGTACTTCTTATGAATAAGTAATTACTTAACAATTGCTAAAAATGTATGTTCTATATGGTATGAGTGTGTGTAGTATGAATGTAATCTGGACGTGCTACATTCGCCATGTTGTCATTATCATTTGACCTACCAGTGTCAGTTACGTCACTTAATTGCTATTCATAAATCCTCTCCCGTGGCCTCATGGGATAGTAAAGTGTCCATCATAAGCACACTTCAGAATCTAACCGGAAAAAGTAGGTCATCCGGGTACTTTTTGCCTACTCTTTTATGAGTACTGTGAATTCGGACATAGTTCTTTTGTCACATACTGTGTTTCGCCTACTATATAGTAGGGAAGTATGCGATAACGGATGCAGCTGAGATGTTATTTTGATCAAAAACTGATAAATTATTTATAACTACTGCAATATTCCATACAAATTTAATAAAAACATTTTAAATTTTGATTTCATGGTGACTTTAACTGCAATAATAACCATGAAACCTACCTGTGGGAATCCCAATGAAGGTGGTCCAAAGTCATTTAGAATTGGCTTGTATGACTGTATTGTTGCCATTGAAGACGGAGAAGGAATGTTTCCTGTTAAGAGTGAACAACACAATACAAATCATTCACTGTATTAAACAACACATTACGATTTACATAAATGCATAATAGATATTTCTAGACAGACTGACGGGTAGATAGTGTAGATGGACAAAAATTCTTTGTGCATTTGCGTAATTGGCCTTTTGTCTCGATCCCACTGAGATGCAACCCCTGTGACAACTAGCCCCGGTCTCCGTCACGCTCATTCCATGCGATACCACCGTCGGCCACTAGGTGTCCCCAAAGAGCAATAAAAAACTGCACGTCTGAATCCGATCAATCAACAGCCCAAGAGACAATCATGGAGGAAACGGCACGGGCTTGATCTTAGCCGCTAAAAGGATTCATTTTTATCACAATCTAGCGGCCTCCACACAAACCCATCCGGCCACGGCGCGACGCGGACCCTTCGGGAAGAACCCGAAAATGTACCTCAAGCCGATATTTAGCACTATAGAAGGCGAGGAAAGCGTTTTTTTCACTAGTAATAATGGCGGATGTGAAGGATCTGACCCTGTAGCGATCAGACTGGACAAAAACTACACACGGCTTTTCCCCAGGTATTCTTTCTCACGCCAATTCTTACATTCGATCAAATACACTAAAGACGAAGAGTTTTCCCCGCTTTTTCGGCATACCTTGGTTCCCAGAAGTTCCCGGAAGGTGTTGATGGGGATTGGGTTTGTAAGACATACCTGAAGAGTTAATAAATGAGAGAAATAAAATTGTCCCTAAAATCAGCGGAGCGTCCGTCTCACAGACACTTTTTGTTTACAGCAGAGCAGCACCGGCAAATATGGCCGCGTCACTCCTCATGACACCCACACTGCTGTCCATCATCATCACAAAGAACTCAAGACAATTAACACATCATTAATACAAAAAATTAACCAATGTTGTCCATCAACACCGTGGCAACCGGAGAAGTTACAAAATCATTAATAAAGAAATACTGCTCGTTATCACAACGGTTTACATTTTTTTTAAATGTATTTTACTAGGGAAAATGTTTTAATTTCGTGTTTTAGAAAAAAATGCTTTTCTTTCTTTTTTAAAAAACATGGAAAAAACGGAAAGTACTTGTACATAATACATTTTTTTAACTTCATTTTTATTTTGTGACAAACAAAAAAAACCATCAGACGTGAAGATCAAATTCCAAAAGGATTTAGTTTAGTTGAGAACAAACCTGATTTAGTCTTATTCTTCTAAAGCTTTGTACATAATGTACTTTTTACTGTGTCAAAGTGCTATTAAACTGTACACTGAAATAAATGTGACCTTGTTTTTTTTTTTATAAAACTCATCTGACTTTGAAAACTAGATTTACACATTTACTCACCAAATAATTAAAAGAATTAAAATTAAACTTACTTTCTTGTTCAACCCTTATTAACATTGATACAGAAAGCCAAATACCAAAAGTCCCCAGAAGAAGAAAAAATTTGGTTCCCTTTAAGTAAAGACATTTTGAAGTAGATGTAATCCACAAGATTTATTGGTCATATGCAAGAGGTAGAGATCTTGCAGTCAGTTAAATTTTTCCATAGATTCTTTGTACAACAGATCCATCAGTAGTGCAACTCGTGCAAGGATGAATGACATTGTCTTCAGAGTGCTGCAACATCTACAATTCAGCAAAAACATGACATTTCAGATATGCAACTATACATCGAGATATAGTAGAGAGACCGAGAAAGTGTCAAACTCACACATTTACAGCAGAAATGAGGTTCGGGAGCTCTTTGTCCCAAGTAACACGTGTGACAGCAAATTATTAAAAGCAAGAAATAGAAAAACAGAGCAAAAGCTTTGATTGATGTGGCCTTTTGTAAAAGGTCATTCCAGTTTACAATTGCATTAAACACTCAAACTGCAACACCGGGAAGCAGCGAAAACATCAACCCTCTCAGACGCTGACCTGCTTCCACAAACTAAACTAAATCCAAAGGGTTCACCAAACCATGCAACGTTTCTGATAAAGTCTTCAGGGTTGGGTTTACACCACTTTCTTACAGCCGTCGGTGAGCCAGAGCGTCCCTGCTTTCAAATCAGGGACTGTATTAAGTGGTAAACAAGCAGCGTCATGCCCAAGACATGCTGGGTCACAAGGCCAAGGTGGAGACAGGCGTGTTTAAAAAAATTAAAGAAAGAGGGACAAGAAATGAAAAAAGAAAACTCGATTGCGAGTAACCCCTGAGCGCTGTCCTGTGTACATAGTAGTGTGTGTGACTTCACAGAGCCACGTATGTCGATGGAAAGCACAGGCGATGATTTAGCCGACTGGAGGTTGTGAAAAGGAAACAGTCTGACTAAATATCGTCCAGTGTCGCCCCCTTCTCAGTGCGGTTTTCTGACGCGCAGAGCTCCGATTCTCTGGTCCAGCAAGCTCCTTTGGCAATGAGTCCTCTTTGGACACGAACCCTGAAATATTAAATACGGCACAAGCACTGTCTTTCTCACAGTGTACCGGAAGAAGGGAGGCTGGCTGGCGTATAATGCCACATCTGCCCTAAAGAGAGGCGGGTTTGTCACGCTATGTGTTGACGGTGTGGCTGATGCTCTGCGGATGCAGTTGCTGCCACATTTGCTGCTGCTGCACCGCCAGTTGCTGAGACTGATCTGATGATGACAGGATGTTGATCAGGGGCGACACGCAGTTGGCGGGAATGATCAGACCTGAGCGGGGAAAAAAGAAACGGGATTAAATTAAACTCATCTTGCTTGTTTTTTTATAACCACAATGTACACTACTGTTCAGAAGTTTGGGATTGGTAAGATTTTTTTAAAAGTTTTTGAAAGAAGTCTCTTTTGCTCTCCAAGGCTACATTTATTTGATACAATAAAAACAGTAATATTGTGAAATATAACAATTTAATTCTGTTTTCTATCTGAATATATTATAAAGCTGAATTTTCAGTATCATTACTCCAGTCTTCAGTCACATGATCCTTCAGAAATCCTTCTAATATGATGATTTGCTGCTCAAGATAAATTATTAATTGGGAAAAAAGTTGTGCTGCTTTATATTTTTGTAAAAAGTATCAGTGTCACTTTTGATCAATTAAATGCATTCTTGCAGAATAAAAGTCTTAATTTTTTTTAAAGTCTTAATTTTCAACACCTCTTGCCACAGTTACATTATGGAAGATTTACATTTAAAAACTCAGGTGACGCCGTGACTTGCATTTGAAATTATATATATATATATTTGACAACTTACCCACAATTCTCTGCCCATCCTCTGTTCTCAAACGTACAATCTGCATCTTCACATTGGATCCGCTGACTGAGGCCAGAACTCCCTCCACTTTAGTCCACACGCTGAGAACGGAGCCACAGAGGACGTAGTATGTCCTGCACCGCAGCCCGATCTCACACTGTAGCCCCACTGACACCTTCTTACAGTTCCCTCGCCTGTCAAACAAAGTTACTTGTGACAACATTTCCTAACTTGATGAGATTCACGAATCAAGTGAAACTGCGCAAATCTTTTGGATTTTCATTTCTGAAGTGACTTAATAGAAGCACCTACCAGTACGCGTGCGAGCAGACATCGGCAGAGCCGTTGTACTGATCAATCCAGTGCTGCTTGGCATCATCAGAGAGGACCTATTTTGGGATGAGATGTATTAGTGAACGCACAACTTTAAGAAATTACATGAAATAGTCTGCAGAGTGCTGACAGGGTCTAAAATTAACATTCACTCACCAATCACCAAATGACACAACTTTTGATTTGGATGTTGGCTTATAAGTGGTTTAAACTAGGAAGCCTGGGCTTCATTTGGTGATTGCAATGCTGGTGTAAAACCTATAAAGATCAAATTTAAGAAGTGGATCCTGACTGCTGTAGAGGAGTTTTACAAGCAAGTGCATCTCGGCAGATATGAATGCATGCTTGATTTTGGGATATTTTTGTGGGGTGGCATCTTTGCTACATTGAGGAGCTGCTTGATCTCAGACTGGCTAAAACAAGCTGCTTCTAGCGACACAAGGTTGCTTTCACACAGGTTCAATTGACGTCAGAGTTTAGTTTATTTGGATGATGTGAAGGCCGTTTTCCAAAATTGGGTGCGCACCCACAAACCATATCAAAGTCATTATAAAAAGGGTTCACATTACAATACAGTTCGCTGCTGATATGAACAAGCATACTAAACTGTGGAAGTGAACCACTACTGACGACTTGTGATTCGATAAAACTGTGTCAATCAAACACCCTAAGTGCAGTCTGACGATAAAAATATTGACTGAGCTAAAGCAAAATACACAGGCTAAAAACATCCGATTAAAAAAATTTATTCATGGCTGGTAAATTTATAATTTGACTGATGCTGAACCAAAAACATAAGGAACGCAATAAAACTGCATCTTATAAACAGCAGTAATGTAATACCTTTTTACTTCTCTTCTTGAGGTCAGCGTAAGTCTCCAGTTTAACTTGTTTTCCGATATTTGGTCTGTACACCATAAACAGTCTCTTTCTGGGATTGACTTCCTTTATAAGGATGGCAATTTTCTTGTTATTCCGCACCTTGAGATGAAACAGAAAATGGTTAGGTTTAGTAGTTGAGTGAATTGGCAGAAGGGTGTATAAGGGGAAAATAAAAAAGGCCTCACCTGGACGTAAAAACCATCATCCGGTCCGTTCTGGTCAGCCCAGACATGGGTGGCATCCTCCCATGCCATTCCTCGCTCCACACTCACCTGAAGACACAGAAACACATTTATTAGACATTAGCCAACTAAACAGACACATATGATATACACAAAAGGCATCATAAAGGTGCATAATTTCAGTTTCTCGGTATGGATATAAACATACTGTATAGAGCTCCACATGCCCTGAGGTGGAATATCCTGGTGTCAAGAATTTCTTTGCATCAACTTTCTTTACTTTTTCATCTCCAGAGCCCAAATCTGCAAGGAAACAATATTCAAACTGAAAAAGGAAACAAAAACAGCTAATCCTAAAGTCTAAAATGGTGTTCACTTCATTTGAAGATCACATTGAAATACATTTTAGTCTGTTAGCTTTGAGATTTGTTTCCAGTAGAACTTCCAGCTATAAAAACAAATTCACCAACACAGAAAAGAAAACCTGGGTTCTTCATTAGATCTTTGAGACTTAAGTCATGTTTAAAACACATTCTTACCTAAAATTCCCATGTCATATCTTCCAGTCTTTTTGGCATTCTGAATGACAGCGCTCAAAGTGTCAGAGAAATACTGAAAGAGTGCATTTTGCTGCTGGACCTCCATACCAAGAATCCTGTTCAGGAACTTCCCAATGTTGTTGTAGTCTATTAAAAGAAAAAGGTATGTGACACGAGAAAATGAAAACATTGTTTTACTAGGTCTTAAACATTCGACAATTCATGAGAAAATAAAAACTGAGAAAATTGACTCTGAAAATCTCTCACCTTTGTCTAGGGAGAGAACACCAGATCTATCCTCCACATTTATCAGCCCCACTCCGATTAAACCATTGCGGATTTCTAAAAATAAAATAAAAATGAATATCCAAGGTATTAAGATGAAATTAAATGTGATGGTTTTCCAGTGACTTTCCTATTGTCGAAAGACATTCAACTGTACCTTTGAAGAAATCCCCATTGAAGTCACCGGGTGGAGACACTAAAGGAGAATCCAGACTGACAATAGACTTCATGACTATTTCCAGAGCGTTTCTGCCATACTGTGGATGTACAAAAAGACATCAGCGAATAAGTCTAGCAACAACCCTATTTAAACTGCAGTCCTTAACTTTTTTTGTGCTCAAAATGTTATACAATGAGCGAGTACATCATGAAACCATTTTCCAAACCGTATTTT